AGACCAGGGGGAGCCTCCTGCTTCCACTGCGGGTTCATCCCCTCGGAAGTGTGGCTGGCTGGCTGGACGCTGTGGATCACACGGCCCCTGAGCTCCCAGCGTGCTGTCCCTGAGCTGGGGTCCACGGCGTGGTGCCCAACGCTTAGGCAGAGATCTCAGCTGCTGCGGTGACCGTGAGACGGCATGTCAGGTGGACATTGTGGTGTGGAGCCTGGAGCCCTGACATGGGCCGTGCGTGGCCTCCATCATGGGCTGAGAGCTGGGGTGAGCCCTGTCCCCCAGGACCCAGGCTTGGAAAGGCCACGTCTCCAGGGCACACAGCATCCTGAGCAGGTGACAGGGTTCAGACAGCTCAGCTTCTCCCTGAGTGCAGGCTCTTGGGTAAGGCGGCCAGAGGACCTGTCCCCACCCCGCGTCCTCTCACCCAGCTTCATGGCCAAGCCAGGGGTGGGAGAGCGAGGTGGCCACAGGAGGTGAGGACGGGTGAAGCAGCTGCTGGCTGGGAAGTCTCAGCCAGGCCCAGGGCTCAAATCCCAGGTTATTTTTTGGGGGGTGGGGGGGGTGCGGTGTGAGACCAGGTCTTCATATGTAGTTCAGGCTGGCCTTGAAACTCACTTTGTAGCCCAGGGTGCCCTCCATCTCAATCTTCCTGCCTCAGCCTCTCAAGTGCTGGGATTGCAGGCATGGGCTACCAGGTCTAGTTCAAATCCTAGCTCTGTTCCCTCTTTTTTTTCCTGTTCCCTCTTGAACCAAAGACAAACCCGCCTCTCAGAACTAACGCTGAATGGGTCGGAGGCGCCACAGCTGCCCCCACCAGACAGAGCGAGCCTGAGCTTGTGCTGCCCCCTGGTGGTGAGCCTGGCACGGCCGGATTCTGGGTGCCGCCGGGCGTTTGGGCGACTTTAGACTATACCCGGGTTCCTTGGCCCTCTTCCTTACTATAGGCCCCGCCACAGTCTGAGGCTGAGGATGCAAAGTTCCCCCTCGGGTTTGTATGAGCATGAGATCAGACTGAAATTACTCAAAGCGAGGCATGGTGGCACACTGGGAAGGCTGAGGTGGGAGGATCGCTGCAAGGTCAAGGCCAACCTGGGCTACATAGTGAGATTCTGTCTCTACACAACAGATAACACCAATCAATAACCAGTAAGTTACAGGGCACAGGAGGAAAGGAAAGAGAGCTGGAGGAAGGGAAGGGTGGCCCTTGTCAAGCGCCAGGGGTTAAGGGGCTGGAAGGTGAGCACGCTTCTCTCCTGCAAGCAGGTCCTGGTGTGGCCTGCAGCATGCAGAACCCTCCCAGGGCACAGGGCGAGGACAATGTCCCTGCTCTGCTTGAGACAGTGCCCACCCCTGGGGTCAGGTGTGCCGCGTTCCTGTCCCCCGCATGACGACAGCGCGGCGAGGACTAGGAAACATTAACGGAGAGGACACTCCGGCAAGACGCGAGGGTTCTGTGTGGGCGGCTGCCCGGGCTCTCTGCCAGTGTGACCCACACCATGGCCATGGTGTGGGTGCGGGGGGCGGACCCCAGTCACTGTGCTGGACACGAGGACAGCGCCAAGAGGTAGTGACCTCGGAGCATGGGCCGGGCGAGGCTCGTGGGCAGGGGACCAGCTGTATTCTCACCCCCTGTGGCCTGTGCCCACAGGGTGCTGCCACAGGGCAACCCCAAGTCGCTGACAACCCTGGAGCCGTGCATCGGCTCTGTGCTGCCCTGGTTCTGCTCCCCGCGTTCCAGCTACAGCTCTGGAGTCCCCCTTGACAGCCCCCCCATTCAAGCTGACCACGAGCCATCCCAGCCAGCTGTGCCCACGCACACCCCGGCTCACAACCGCACAGCTCACAGCAGCTCATTCTTGGCATAGCCTACATGAATGGCTAAAGTGATTATGGAGTACTACTGTGCCCTAAAGAAGGATAAGCAAGTCCTGTGTGGAAAATGGATGCGCCTGGAGATCACAATGTTAAGTAAAATAAGCCAAACACAAAATGCTTGGGGGGGGGGTGGAGAGATAGCACAGTAGAATAAGCACTTGCCTGGCAAGTGCAAGGTCTTGAGTTCAATCCTGGTACTGGAAAAAAAAAAAAAAAAACACCAAAACTTAAATATACATGGTTTCTTTTATACAATAAACCCAAAGTATAAATAAATGAATGGGCAAAATAAAAGATATGAAACAGGGAGACATTTTGCAAATGAGAAAGGGGCTAAGAAATGTAAGAAGGGCCTTTTGGGTCCTCCTCTCCAAGATGACGAAAAAAAGAAGGAACAACGGTCGTGCCAACAAAGGCCGCGGTCATGTGGAGCCTAGTCGCTGCACGAACTGCGCCCGGTGCGTACCCAGGGATAAGGCCATTAAGAAGTTTGTCATTCGGGCTGGAGAGATGGCTCAGTGGTCTAAAGCACCTACTTGAAACAAGCTTGGCAAAGCACAGGGACCGCGGTTCGATCCCCAGCACCACATGCCAGCCAGACCCGCCCCCCTGGTGGGCTGAGCTGGCCACACACACACAATAAATAAATGTAATAAATAAAAATAAATATTTAAGAAGTTTGTCATTCGGAACATAGTGGAGGCCACCGCCATCAGGGACGTTTCTGAAGCGAGCGTCTTCGACGGTTATGTGCTTCCCAAGCTGTATGTGGAGCTGCACGACTGTGTGAGTGTGCCAGTCACAGCAAGGTGGTCAGAAATCGATCTCATGAAATCTGCAAGGACCGAACTCCTCCACCGCGACTTAGACCTGCTGCCTTAGACCTGCTGCTGCTGCCCCTCGACCTCCACCAAAGCCCGGGAAGGGGAGCTGGGTCTTAATGGACTGCAGGAGACTCTTGAGTAAGAAATAATAAGTTGAATGTTATACTTTATACAGCATGTTGAGTGTACCTGCCAGAGGTGGGTTTGGTTAATTTAGCCTATCCAAGTTTCAGTTTGTACTCTGAAAATGAACAAAGAGGAACACACTGGGGAGAAAAAAAAAATGTAAGAAGGAAGGGATGGAGAAAGAATAGGTCCAGGCCGTAACACCTGGGAAGAGATTTGGGGCGCCGCAGCGGGGCTTGTTACGCAGACTACACTCACCCCACCACCACAGCCATCATCTAACGGACCATTTACAGAAAAAAACACCACGTAACCGGCTCAACACAGCTTAATCAAAGCAAGCCTAGCGAGCAGCCGCGCCGCTCGGCTCTCACCACCCGCTTTCAGCTCAGGGTTCCCAGCCCGCCTGTATCCCCTCCTGCCCGGGTCGCGATCCTCGCCCCTGTGCGCCTCCCTCGGCTCCTGTGAGGACTTCTCCTTCTCCCTGAATCCCACGAGGAATTCCACGAGCGTGCGGGATCGCGGCATCCCGGGAGGACACGCTTTTACCTGCGTGCCTAGCCCCGCCCCTAGAGGTGTAACCGCCCGCCCACCGCGCCCGCTGCGCAAGCGCGCGGCGCCCCGCCGCGCGGGGACTGACTTCCGCTCTCTGAGCCCACCCGGGCAATGACTGGCGTGGGTGGGCAAGGGCGCGCGCGTCCCGGCGGCCAGAGGCTCTGCGCGCGGAAGCTGTGGGCGAGTAGCTCCACAAGCTAAATAAAGAAATCGATATTGCGAAGAGCCTGTGTGCTGGGCCAAGACTAATTCCTGCGCTCTGGGAGGCTGAGGCAGGAGGATACAGTCCATACTGGACCCTTTTATTTTTATTTTGAGATAGTCTAAATTTGCGCAAGCTGGCCTTGGACTTTCGAGCCTCCTTCCTCAGCCTCCCACCTCACTGTGTTGACACATTTGTACTACCGTGGTGGGCACTAACCCGGCTTTTACCGAGGGAGGATGGGCCCCGGCAGAACTCAGCACCCTGCCAGCCCCGCCGCAGAGCGGGAAGGTCGGATGGATCCAGAGACCACGGCGGGGCGCCCTGTGCATCAGGCGCTCCCCAGGCTCAGCTGGAGTCTTCCGACAACTTCTCAGGGAAGACTATACTGGGTGGCCTGCCTAGGTCCCCAGGCAGTGGGTGGCCCCCCAGGACCCATCCCTCCGGTGTCTGACAGCAAAGCTCAAAAACGAGCAAAAAGGAAGAGGAGTTGCGGGGAAACAGGTACCGCTGCCGACGCCTTCTGCGGTGAGCAGAGGGAAAGGTGCTGGGGCGCACTGCGACTCCGCGTGAGCCGGATGCCCCTCCCGCCGCCACTCAGGGCCCCGGGAGCCGCGGGCCCCGTCCCGCTCCGCCAGCTGGCGGGGCTGCATTGTGAGGTGGCCATGCTGACTTCAGGGCCTGGCCCGGAGGGCAAGAGGTGGGGCGGGTGGGTCCGGCTGCCCCTCGCCCCCGCCCGGGCCTCCCCCATCATGGGCAGCGCCTACCACTGGGAGGCCCGGCGCCGGCAGATGGCTCTGGACCGGAGGCAGAGGCTGCTGGCCCAGCAACAGCAGCAGGAGGATAAGCAAGAACGGCAGCAGGTGCAGAAGGTAGCCAGGCGGGAGCGCGGCGGCAGGGAGGGAAGGGGGGAGGGGGGAGGGGACAAGGGGGAGGGGGAGGGGAATGGGGGAGGGGCGGGGGCGCTGCCGGGAGGCTGGCCCCTGGTTCTCCCCGAGAGGCTGAACCTATTTGTTCCCCCTGCTGGGGCGGGGACCCCCGGCCTCACGCAGCAGGCAGCGGGCAGCGGGCAGCCCCGCACACCCACGGGCCTGGCTAGCCCTCCCTCACCGCGCGCGGCTGCCAGCTCCCTGCGAGGAGCCCGTCCTGGCGGCTGCCAAGAGGGAGGGGCTTTTATTTTTATGTATATTTAAATATAAAATAAGAGCCAATACTCAGTTGACACATTTAAGACACTTGAAGTGCCTTTGCCACAATTTGGGGACAGGAACCTACTTTGTCAGCTGTAAACTGTATAAAATTGGCAGATACGTTACTGTTGGTGTCCCTGCCGCTGTGCTGTGCGCCTCTGACCTTAGCTGTTGAGGAGGCTGAGGCAGGAGGAGGCCGGGGGCGGCCAGCGTGGGCACCTGCGCGAGGTGCCTCTTGAAACAAAAAGGAAGCAGGGCTGGGGTTCCCTCAGGGGCTCAGCTCTGCCGGGCTCATTCCGAGTAATGAAAAAGAAAATAAATTGTGGGATGTGGGGCCCCAGAAGTGCTGCTCCTTGGCAGGAGCTCTGGGGTGCAGAGATAGCCCCAGCAGGCCTGGCCACCACCCCATCATGTGCCTGCTGCCTGGAGTTTTTTAATCTGAGTTGACACTTGCGGTGGGGGCTTCTTGCTAGGAAATGCAGAAAAACCAACAGGAGGAGGACCGTCACCCTGAGCAGAGACCTCCACCACCGCCAGAGCCCAGAGAGCAGCCCCAGCCACCACCGGCCCAGCCGCTACCTCCAGGGGCACAGGGTGCCCTGCCTCAGTGCTCCCTTGGGCCCGGACAGCTCCCTGGTGTGGACTGCAGACCCCAAGCCTGGCCGCCCATCCTGCCCGGACCTGGTCAGTGGGGTGTGGGATGGAGGGGTGAGGACAGCACCCTGCTCGCTGCCTCGACCTGGCTCCTGTATCCCTGTGGCACCGCCCTGCCCCGCCTGTGCCCTCTGCATGGGTGAAGGGCTGTGAAGGCCCCCGGGAGAGGTGGCAGGCGACATCGGCCATGGGACTCATCTGTCCTCACCAGGGGCTGCACCTCCTCCCACCCAGTAGCTCCCCCTGTGCTCTCTGGCACTCCAGCCACCAGTGTTGTTTCTGTCCTCAGGCCTCACCAACCCGTGCCAGCCTAGCCCTGCCAAAAAGACTGGGTATAGGAGACTCACGGTGAGTGGAGCTGTGGCCGGGTATGCGCCTTGCCTTGGCCCCGTGGCCTTGAACTTGTGCCACTCTGGCCTCCCACAGAGTAAGGGCCCACCACAGCTGGTGGCATAGTAACTATTTTTCACAGTACTGGGGCTTGAACTCAGGTTCTTGGCACTGAGCTACGCCCCCCCCCCCCACTACCCTTCTTTAAAATTTTGAAGCAGGGTCACACTGAGTCACTGAATTATTACCCAGGCTGGGCTTGAACTTGAGGCCCTCCTGCCTCAGCCTCCCAGAGGCCCAGCTAGGATCGTAACTTGATGAGACTCTAAGGTGAGGCAGGCTCTGGGGAGGTCCAGGTCTAGGGCTCCGTGTCTCACAGGCACTTCTCGTGTGCAGGACTTGGAGTAAGGCACAGGACAGGGTCTCACTGCTCTCTGGTCCCCCACCTCAGAGGGTTCAGCAGGCCCAGAAGGTAGGCATGGAGATGCTGACCCTGGCTTCTGTCCCTCCCTTTTCTCAGTCAACTGATTACATCCAGCAGTGGTGACCCAGGCCCCGACTGCAGGACCCCAAGGACTACTGACAGGAGCAGATGAGCAGCCATGCCTCCAACCGCTGCCAGTGGGCACCGGGGATGCGCCCTAGTGCTGGGAACCCTGGCGGCAGTAAAGCGCAGCTCCTGGAGTCGAGCCTCAGCAGCTCTGTGGGGACGGGGAGCCAGGGAGGGATGGCAATTCCGTGCTGCTGCTGCTTTTTTTGAGACTAAGTCTCACCATATAGCCCAGGCTGGTCTCGAACCTGCTGCGACCCTCCTGCCTCAGCCTCCCTAGTCCTGGGATCACAGGTGTGTGCCACTAAGCCCAGCAACTCTGTGCTTTTGTGGCTAAGCTGAGGGTGCAGGTCGGCCCTGCCTGCTGCTGCCACTGCCCTGCTCAGCAGCTGAAGCATCTGGCGTCCTGCCAGTCCCCGGGGCGTCACCCTTTCCCCAAGCCTGTGTTTCCCACCAAGGTTCTGTGGGAAGGGGCTGTGTCACATTGCAGCAGGGAGAGGTGGGCTACTCGCGCATCACCTGGGGGCCCCGCTGAAGCCTGGGCTCTACCTTCCCGGCTCCCAGCCCTTCCACCCAGCAGTTACTCTAAGGTTTCTCAGCCCCAGATGGAGGGGAGAGGGCTGCAGATTCAGGTTATTTATTTATTTAGCTCCGAATGCCTTCAGGGCATGCTTGCCTGGCTGGAGTGTTGTGGGGATCAACTCCAGCAACCTGAGGCTGACAGCTTTGTGGAAGCAGCCACTTAAAGGCCTGAGCTAGGGCCAGGCCCCCCTTTATTTTGTTTCTGAGAATCAGATTCAGAGCCTTGTGTTTGCCGGGCAGGTGCTGTGCGGCTGAGCTGCACCCCCAAGCCCCGGGTCCTCTCTTCCCCATCCTGAGGATGGCTGTGGTCACTGCGGTCAGCACCCAGGTCCCGGGCACCACAGGGGCCTCCCGAGGGGCGCTGGGCACCAGGGAGGGCAGCACCATGCACCTGGAAGCTGCTGCTCAGCAGCAGGGGAGTTACAGGCAGCACCCCGGGAGGCTGAGGCGGGAGGGCCAGTTCAGGCTAGCAACCTAGTGATTTAGTGGGACGCTCTCATCTCTAGCAATGGGCTGGGGACGGCGCTCAGGACGAAGGCCTGGGGTTGCGCCGTTCGTTCAGGGGGACTTGGGGGCTCTCAGCCTCAGTGCCTACCCAACAGCAGGCTCCCTCCAGGTGGCCGCACTGCACGTGCCGCTGGTGTGCTTTAGTGACTATGAGTACTTGACAGCCCCCAGCCTCAACTCCTCCTCCCCTCACAGGCCCGGCGGTCACCCCAGTCCCACCACCCGCGAGTGACGTGGGTCGTGGGGCCTTCAGGAGCGATTCTTATCCCTGCTGGGCAGAGGTCCCTGGGGGCTGGGGTTCTCAGGGTGTGGCTGAGGGACAGCAAGAGCCGGGTCTGGCAAAGGAAGCACTGCGGAGGGCTCTGGGAGCAGGGCTGAGCCCCGGCTTGTGTGCACGTGGGCCCCTGCGGCTGGCCTTGCGCCGCTGACCCAAGCTCCTCCCTCTAACTGGGATCCTGCCCGGGAAGGGGATGATCAGGTGCACACAGTGGCCCCGAGGGTCCGGGGACAGTCGCTGGCTGGGAAGGAGGACAGAAGGCCAGGGCCCCAAGGTTCTTCTGTGTGGTGGCCCACCCCCACTGCCTCGCTGCGCAGCCAGGGTGGAGCAGCTGCAGGGGCCACATCTGTGGCTGTGGTCCCAAGAGTCCACAAGGACATCCCCAGGTCACTTATCACTCAGCACAGACCTTGAACGGGATCCAGGTTTTAAAAGGACGGATACTATGGCCACCACCTTCGGAGAGGAAGGAAAGTGGCCCTGGCGGACTGGAGGAGACGGACGGGACAAAGAGGATGGAGGGGACGGGGCCAAACAGCCTCTGCCTGAGGCCTCCAAGTTAGGGACCTGGTGCCTGCCGGCCTGAAAGAACCAGAAAGGACAGGAGGACGGGACAGTGCACAGGAAGCGAGTCCCCTCCTCCTCACGTGGGTGCCATGGCGCTTCGGGTCTCCAGGACAAGCTGGCGCGGCACCGTCTTGCCCCGGCAGTCTGCATACTCGAAGCTCTCAAAGACCCGCTCCTCCACGTGGCCCAAGTAGGAGTAGGTCACCGTGCCCCTGTAGAGCGCGAGGGCAGCTGGGAAGCAGGCGGCACATGCCTCCCAACAACCCCAGAGACTAGGGCCGAGGTGAGGGCCGTCCTCCTGCCACAGGACAGCCGAGGCGAGGCTGAGGCAGGAGGATTGCCCAGAGTTCCAGGCTGGCCTGGGCTAGCCAGGCAGATTGTCTCAAAACGCCCAAGCTCCAACCTAAAGCCGTGTGTGGGGGCCACTTACTGGATGTGGAGCACCACGTGGTGGACCTTGATTTCCAGCCAGGTACAGATTTTGCTGTGACAGAAAGAGGGTGTCACAAAGAGCCTCTGGGGTCACACGTGCAGCCCTACCCTGCCCGCCTCTGTCCTTCTGAGGCCAGCATGGTCACTTAATGGGACACTGCGCCTGTGCAGCCTGGCGTGAAGCCCCAAAGTCACCCATGGTGAAGCTCACCCGGCCTGGGCCAACTTCTGCTTCCACCCGGCCCCACGGCACAGGCTGAGGCGCCGAACCCCCAGCGTGGTGCTGGCTGGTCGTGGCAAGCCCGCCACACACCTGAGGCGGGAGGAGCTTGGGCGCAGTACTCACTACGTGTTCTCATCTTCAATCCTGCTGGCCACAGCATAAAACATCTGCCGGGCGAGGGGCACGAGCTCAGCCGGCGGCGGCCCCTCTCCCGCCGCCGCACCCTGCGGACCGCCTCCCCGGGATGGGACGGCGCACCTGTTCGCTGGTCAGAGGGCCGACGTGCAGCAGGAGGCCTTTGGAGAGCTGGCCCACCACGAGGGACAGGTGCAGGACCTGGACGGTCAGCTGGCTCACGGTGATGGGCCAGTAGTTGGGGTTGGAGATGTTCAAGATGCCCTGGGAGGAAGACAAGGACCGGGCGCGGTGACCCACCTTGGGAAGGGAGTGGCCCAGTGGTGGTGGAAGTCTCCATGGGGGCCTCAGGCACATGGACCCCTCAGGGGGCCACCTTAGAATACTGCCGTGTTGGGCTCAGGAGATAGCTCAGTAGAATAAGTGCTTGCCTGGCAAGCAATGCCTGGTACCGCAACAAAACAAAACCTTCACCATGTGTGAAAGGATGCGTGCAATCCTGGCGCGAGAAGGCTGGCAGGGAAACTGCTCGGGCTGGAGCCCAGCCTAGCTATGTAGAGCTGTCAAGGCCTGCCTGCACCCCACAGGGAGACCCTGTCTCAAAACGCAAACAGTTACACTGAGCTGCACATGGTGGCTCACGCTTACAGTTCCAATACTCTGGGAGGCTGAGGCAGAAATATCAAAAGTTCAAGCCTAGCCTGTGTCACTTAGTGACATCCTGGACCCTGTGTGAAAATTAAAAAAGGTTTGGGGGTGAAGGCCCTGGTACTGAAGAAAAAAAAGTTATGCTGAGCTGCCCACATGATGCCTGCAGTCCCAGGAGGCTGAGGCAGGAGGATCACTTGAGCCCAGGACTGAGAGACCAGCCTGGGCAGCATGGGGAGATCCAGTCTCTAAATCAAACACTGGGGGTCCTGATTCGTCTGCACATCTCTGGCAGGCCTCCCCTACGCCGGCATTTATCTGGCCCAGGCCTGCCCTTACCCCATGAGGAGGCCCAGCCCGACACCATCTGTCCCATGGCTTATGCGGTCCCTGCTTCTCCCTTAGCGCCCAGGACCCTCCAGGAGGCACAGCCCTGGGAAGTGTGGCTGGGGGTGGGGAGAGCCAGGATACCCACCGTGGCATTGAGCAGGACATCAGCCTTATCGAAGGCCACCGTGGAGGAGTTGAGGCCTGCGGGGTGCACAGTGATGCCCCGGGGTAACAGGAAGAAGATGATCAAGGAGGTGGTGACCAGGCACATGAGCACCGCGAGGGACACAAAGAGCTTCCTGAGGAGGCAGCGCCAGCCAGGAGAAGCCTGAGCCTGGGAAAGCTGAGGGGCAGCAGTCTCCCACTACACCACCCTACAATGGGCGTCTGGCTGCTGCCTGGCTCCTGGGCCAGCTCTGTGCCACCGACCCCAGCCCTGAGGGACCACCTGGGCCTCTCGATGCCTGCTGCTCCATGCACAGCCTCATGCTCAGGCGCAGGTACCATCGTACATTCAATTCCGGACAGATAGGAGTTCAGGGGCAGGACTCTGGATGTGAGGGGCAGGGCCAGCGGCGAACCCCACTGTGGTGTGGGCAGGCGGGACTGGGGTACCAAAGCCAAGCCTGAGGACCTAGTGGCACCTGCATCTAGACCAGGAACAGCTCCAGGACGGCTTCTGAGGTTCTGAACAGTCCCAGGTTAGGACATACCTCTAGCAGGTGGAGAACAGGTGGGTCTAAGCTGCACCACCACCAGGAGGGGTGCACTAGGCACTCCAGCCCCAGACTACAGCCAGGGTCCCTGGCTCCCTGCTAGGAGGAGCCGAAGCCAGACAGTGCCCGCTGGGATGAACCACAGCAGTCCCAGGCATTTTCTGCTGTGCACCCGCTGTGAAGAGGGCACTCAGCAAAGCACATCCATGATCTTGGGGGGGGGGTGCTGTGGGGACCAAACCCTGGGTGCACTGAGCCATACCCTTAGCCCTTTCTTAGTTTTGAGGCAGGGTCTCAGTAAGCTGCCCAGGCTGCCCTAGACCTTGCTGTCCTGACTCAGCCTTCTGAGGAGCTGCAGTCACAAGTGTGCACTGCCACACCTGGCTCTTCTTTTTTTACTGATGCTGGGGATCAAACCCACGGCCTCACGCACCCCAAGCCAATGCTGTGCACGGCTACACCCCAGCCCCAACACTTCGTAACCATAAAGCAGGAAAGTCCTTGGAAACAAGCAGCTCCTATGTTTGAGTCCAATGAGCTCCGATTCCAACCCATGGGGGAGGTAGGGGGCTTCAACACTAGAGACAAAGGTGACACCATCCCCAAGCGTGACGCCCACAGACTGGGGCACTGATGCTTACGTGCGCCTGGGCTTCAGCCTCTGGTCCCCAAAGGGGATGAGGGCCACCAGCTGCTTCTCCAGCTCTGTGGAGCAGAACACTGTGAGAGGGCGCGGAGGGAGGATACAGGTGACCTTCACACCCATGCCGGCAGGGGGCGCCGCCTCTGAACCCCATGGGCAGCTCAGCTCTGAGCTACCGCGGGAGGGGAATCCCCAGCACAGGTGTGGAGCCTGCGAAATGCACTAGCAAATCAGAGACACCCAGCGTCTTCAGAAAGGTGACTTGTGACCTTGGACCCCGAGTGCTGGATGGTCGGGGAGCAGAGCGGCTAGAGCCCGCGGCGGGGGGTGGGGGGCAGGTTGTGCTGTGGGCAGGGAGTCTGCAAGGAGCCGGCCAGCCGCACCTCCGCCCGCCTGGGGCCGAAGGGCAGGCGGCCGGGAGCCGACCCGGCCTTCCTGCGGGACCAGGGCGCGGCCACTCACCTTGGGGGATCCTCCCCCTGCCCCGGCAGGTAGGACAAGTCACATGGCTGCCACCAGAGGCCCCGCGGCCAGGCACACAGGAGCTGGTCGACTGCTTCGGGCGGGGGAACAGGAGCCATGTGCGCTCGCCAACCTCCGGGGTGCTCATCGCTTCTCCTCGCTAGTGAGAAAAGAACCCAGTGCAGGTGAGGCCCGGACGCACTGCGGGCCGGCGGCGGCGCCGGGTTCTGAGTGCTCCCTGGGCCGGGAGCTGACCACAATCTAGGGGCCGTGCCCGTCCATGCAGATGGGCGTGAGCGTTCGCTCGGGACTCCGAAGTGGGAAGTCTGAAGGCAGCGCCACTCTCAGTACGGGCCTAAAAACTGAAAAAAAGCGGAAGTCAGCGCACTTGAAGGGCCTTCCCTAAGTGACCCATAGGGGGCCCCGCCCGCCCCAGCCGTCCTCCCTTTCTGCGGGAGGAAATTGGATAGGGCTGGCCGGGGACACGGCCCTCTAGGAAGTGGTGGGATGACCACTTGGGATGCGTGTAAATCGATTCACACGCAGACTTTAGGGGCTTTGAGACGATCTCGTTACTGAGGTTTGGACTGCCTTGAATGCATATGCACCCCAGGCAGGCCTCAACTCGCTGCAACCTCCTGCCTCAGCCTCTGGAATGCTGAGATTACAGGCGTGTGCCACTACGCCCGGCGCGCACACACAGATCTTTGTGGCTGAAGAGGCAGCCTCACCTTGGCTCTGGACTGGGGTCTTGCTCCTCGCCGCCGCCACAGCCAGGAGCTCGGGGACTGCGGCCGGCAGGGACTGCGGAGCCGCGGGCGAACGGGAGGATGGCGGGCGCAAAGGTGGGATTAGATTAGCCCGAGGATCACGCCCCACGCCTCGAGGCCGCGGTGGAGGCTCCAAGGGTTCCTGGGCCTGGCCTCCAGAAAGACAGAAGAGGGTCCGGGGGCACCCCCCTCGAGTGGCGAAGAACGAAACAGCAGCCGCGGAAGCGAAAGCGGGGGAGGAGGCGCTCTGCCAGGCGCCCGCCTGGGAGGAAGCCAGGGCCCAAGCCCCGCCCACGCGGCCCGGCCCCGCCCTCCCCAGGCCCCGCCCTCCCCGGCCCCACCCCCACGAGGTCCCGCCCTCCTAAGAATCAAAGTCCAGGCAGGCGGTTCAAAGAACATTTATTTCACCTTCCTTTACATGGTGACGGGCAGGTGCCGCCCGGGGGGTGACCTGGCCCATGGCCTGCCCGAAATCAACCCCATAACCAAAACCTGGCAGCAGCGTTTTAAATGAGGACAGGCTTGGTTGGCTTACAGTCTGAATTCTGGCTAAGTAGCACTGGAGATTTATACTGTAAATAAACCCATTACAACTAGTAACTAAAATTGCCATTTGTTATGCACACCAACCAGGTTAAATACTACCACTTTACCCACCCCTGCCCTGGTGGGCGGGGGCCAGAGTTCACGGTTTCTTAAGTTTTTTTTCCTTTTGGAGAATGTGCCTGCCCCACGGGTGCTCCTGCCCTCCTCCCAGGTTGGCTGACCGCTCAGCCCTGCAGGAGGCACTTCCGCTCTGCCTCTGGGGGGGCTCTCCAGGCCAGTCGCAGGGCCCGCTTTGGAGCCCACCACCACCGGTCCCACTGATTCACTTAGATCCACGCCACCTGCTGTCCACTCTACTGGAAACCAAGGCCGTCCCAGTATTAAGAAAAAAGGTAACTATTAAATTTAGTTTTCCCTTTAAGTAACAGGTGGGCTTTTTTCCTTCTCTACAGGACTAGCAAAATATTTCACACTAAGCTTCTCTTCTTAAATAAAACAACAGTATATGCAGGTTACAACATGGCCCCACTTGGCAGGTCCTGGCAGGGAAGCCAGCACCCCCCACCTCTTCACTTGAGATTTCTGCTAGGTGGCCACCCGGCTGTGCTGCCGGCGTCTCTGGAAGGTGGCGGTGCCCCAGGGGCTTGGAGGCAACTTCCTCCACAGCAGAGCTGGACACCACCACATGGCTATGAGACTCAGGGCTGACTGCAGAAATCACGAGTATTTGTGGAAACAAACTCCAAGATTAATTGTTTTTAAAGACTGACAATTAATAGGTAGCCCCGTTAAAAACATCCACATGAACCAAAGGAAAATACTCAACTTCAGTACAAGCAGAGCGAAAAATGGTTCTAGAGGAAATTCAAGGTGCATTCCTCAATGTGATAAAACAGAAGCACTTTACCCAAATCAACTGAAAAGCTGTCTTCCAACTACTCCTCCAATTCCTAGTGAAGTACTGGTCTTTGATTCGCTTCAAAAATACTGTAACAGATACTGTCAGAAAATCCAATGAAGGGCTCTCTAGAGTTTCACCAGATAAAAAACCCCACGACGGCCTGCACCCCACAACCCCAAGGGGAGCAGGAAGCGGTGTCAGCGCGCAGCCCTCAGTGGCGCTGGCTGTACCAGTCATTGTTGCTGAGCTGGAGGAGCTCGGTCACCACCTGCAGGATGTTGTAGTTGTGTTTCTTCAGCAGCCTGAGGTTCAGCTGCCGGTCGCAGAAGCCCATTTCGAAGAGGTGAGCCATCAGGGCCGCTGTCTGGTGTTCCGAAACTACGGGCTGTGGGGAGACAGGACAAGCATGGGGAGTTTTCTCTGGTGTTTCTGGCTTGCCAATTTCCCTGGTCTCCTAAATCACACGTCATTCCAGATGTGCGCCAGAAATAGAGATGGGCTGCGGGCCGTCACCTCTGTACCCGCGGTCTGCGGATCCGAGAAGGCAGGGGCGTGCCTTCAGGGCTGGGCGGATGCTTTGGAGGGCGCCTTCCGAAGGAGGCGGTCTGCGGCCAGAGGAAGGAAGGCGAGCACCACCACTGGAGACGGCGCCTGGCGGTGTGCAGAAACAAGGCACGGGCCTCTCGGGGCCTCTCCAGGCCCCCACCTCACACGGAGCAGCCCAGCAGCAGCAGCAGCAGCAGCAGCAGCAGCAGCAGCAGCAGCAGCAGCAGCAGCAGCAGCAGCAGCAGCAGCAGCAGGACTCACTCGGGAGGGGGACGGTTTCTGCTCTGCCCTGACACCTCCAAGTCCCCATACTCTCATGTGGACACGCAGCTCCATTGTACCCGCTGTGCAGGCCGATGCGACATCACCTCTGCGCCTCGCCCACACATGCGCCTCCTCATCTCAGAGTGGGCCTGGCCCTCCTGGTCTAACCTTGCCACGTACACAGCACCTGCGTTAGCTGCTTCCTGCCGCCGAGATCTTCCAGCTGTCACCCGGCACACGCTGGCCATCCAGAGGAGGATCCTTCAGGCTCCCCCACGGCCAGCTCTCCTGGGCTTCCCGCCTGAAACTGTCCTGGTACTGCACACACCAAGTATTCTGATCCCACTCACCCTGTCCCCTCCCTTGCTCTGTCCACACCAGCGTCCCTCCACTTTGGCATCTTTTTTAGAGTCCATACACTAGGGACAACAGGAGACATGCCGTTGAGTCTTATTTAGCTCAACAGCATGATTGCCAGATCCACCCTTTTCTGCAAATGACAGGATTCCGGTTGTTGTTTTTTTTTTTTTTTTTTTTTTTTTTTTTTTTTTTTTTTTTTTTTTTTAATATTTATTTATTTGTATGCGTGGCCAGCTCAGCCCACCAGGGGCCGGGGCGGGCTGGCATGTGGTGCTGGGGGTTTGACCGTTGTTCCTTGTGCTTTGCTAAGCTTGTTCTAAGTAGGTGCTTTGGACCACTGAGCCATCTCTCCAGCCCAAGGATTCCGGTTTTTGTTGTGGCTGAACACTCAGGTTTGAGGTGGATGTGCCCGGAGCATCTGCGCACTCGCCTCTGAGGCCCTGCCGCTGTGCGGTGTGGGACGCAGGCGTGGAGGCTCTCAGCGTGCTAGCTTTCTGAGGTGTGCACCGTGCGGGCGAGTGCCACCCAACCTGCAGCCCAGACCTGCTTCTCTCCGTCAGAGTGCCAGGCTGCAGTTACCCCTGAACGCTCGCTTGGGTGTGAGGCGCCAAGGCGTGCGCGTGCAGACCCGAAGGGCTGTGTGTGCCACAGGTTCGCTGCCACTGGTCTACACCAAAGAGTGCAACAGCAGGACCACACAGGTGCTTCAGGCCTGCAGTGGTGGTGACGACTATCATGCTAGCACTTGGGAGGCTGAGACAGGAGGATCACCACGAGTTCAAAGCCAGCCTGGGCTATAGTGAGTTCAAGGCCAGACTGAATTACATCGTGAAACCCTTTTCCACAAAAGACAAATAAAAAGCAGCTTTATCTTTAGCTGTCTGTTTTACCAGGGGCTGACCTCAGGACCTTGCGCTTGCCAGGTTATGCCATGGAGCTGTCTCCCAGCCCTTATCGCTCAGTTTTTGAGGCAGCTGCCTACTTGCTTCCACACTGGCTGCGTAGACAACACTGCCCCACCAGCAGTGCAGGAGGGCCGCTCTCCGCAGCCTTGCTAACACTCAGCTAGTTAAGACCTTCGCACATTGAGGATGGAACCCAGGAGCTCGGCGCCTTTCGTGCCGAGTGCCCTGCCAGCATGCCTGGGCCGGGCTCCCACTCGCACTCCTGCTGATCCTGCAGTCCCGGGTTACACTACAGGTGTGCACCTCATGGCGGCTGCACGCGCCCCCCCCCCCCTTCCACCAACTCCTCCCGGCTACCCATGGACTTTTTTTTGTACCGGGGATCACACTCAGGACCTTCCACTCACCAAGCGGACACTTACGCTGCTGAGCTATCTACCCCGCCCTCCCATGGGCGTCTTCACCCCCTCGGTCAAGCCTTCACGCTGTGGCGGAGGGTGAGCACGAGGCCGGCACGGTCAGCTATGTCACCTCCTTTCACCTACTCCCCAGCCTGAAGGACAAGCCCAGGCCCCGCGGCTCCCACTTGTCTCTGCCCAGGTCTCTGGCCCTGGCTCATGCCACCCACGCTCCTCTCCCAGTCTTAGTGAGCCCTGCTGTGGCCTCTGGGCCCGAGGCAGGCGCAGTGCCACCTTGTCTTGCCTCATTGGTGCCTGTCCACCTGGCGGTGTCCCCCAGACTTCCTCCTCTGTGGTTCTGGCACTGAATGGGTCCCCACATCTGGAGCAGGTCTCTGCACTCAAGGGCCTCGTCCTTGCACCTAACGTAACTTGGCTGACACCAGGCTGGGAAGCAGTAAGGCTCTGTGTTAACCGAAGACCAAACCTAAGGCCTTCCACGGCACATTACTAGCACTAGGCTTCAGGAGTCAAGAGCCAGAGCGACAGCTGGTACTGACCTGGGCAGTCACTGGGGGCCCAGAAAACAGGGCCTTGTATGCAGAGGCGGCGACAGACAGTGCACCCTTGACTAGCCCTCCTGCGATGCTGCTCCCATGCGGAGGCCTGTGGGGGGAAAGCCACATGCCTTACACAACAGGTGAGGATTCCGTGAAAAAACCACCCAGGGTAAAGAGTGGGACCTCTTCCTATTAGTTCTCTGCCTGCAAATCTTGGCTGCTATTGGCTTGGCTGTGCTTAGGTGAGGAGGCTCCAGGACCTTCCACTCCCCCGCTCCCCCACAGCACTTGGGGTCACACACAGGGCCACGGACCTGGGCTCATCTCAGAGGAGGCCCCTCACAAGGTGGAAGGAGCTTCGGGGAGGGGAGCAGGGATGCGTCTGGAAAGCCTGGCTACAGCATGCTCAGCCTTGTGGGCACAGGGCAGAAGTGGAGGCGTGCCTGACTTGGGCACTGCACACTAAAACCACTGGTGCCCTTGCTACAGAGCACGGTTCAAAAGGAGCAGGCCAGCCAGGAACCAGGGCCTCGCTGCCTGCTGATGGGAGGGGAGGAGGTACACAAGCCGTTACCTAGAGTGCTCCCAGCTCTTCTGTCTGCCAACTGCCAGTCCTGGGGAGGCCCTGGGCTCTAAAAGCAGAAGAGCTGTTGGTTAGACACAGCACCCATGGCACCCAGTCTGCAGGCTCTGCTCCTCTGGAGCTCTCTGGGGTGGAGTGCTGAGGGGTCTGCATGGAGATGCACTACTCAGCAAGGCAAGACAGGAGCCTGTCACCCCACGGCACAGCTATACCAGTGCTCCAGCACTTCTGGGCTGGTGCTTGGGGCGCGGAAGTGGCTTCGAGGGTGCACATGCCCCATCCTGCCCAGTGCCCACACGCTGAAGGCTGCAGAAGCACAGGGCTCCAAAGCCTGGCTCTCCCTTCTTGCTTGGTGCCTGCCTCTGCTGGAATCGCCCCCAGATCCTCAGCTAAACCCCAGAGAAGCTGTGTGGTGAGGGGTGGCCAGGCCTAGAGCTGGACTCTGCCAGGCCGTCTCCCAGGAAAGGAGAGAGGACGCTCACAGGCGGCATTACCTGTTCGGATCTGCCCGGGGATGGCAGAGGTTTCTGGCACGGTGACCAGGACGTCCATGCCTGGGGAGGAGTGCTGTGCACACACCGAGTGCCTGCGGAGGGACAGATGGGACATGGACAGTAAGTGGATAAACTGGTGGTGATGGGGACAGTCACAGCAGCACGGCAGTGCCACACTATAGAGGTGCACAGTCTTGTGCTCACCCAGGACCCAGGCTTGAGGGGCTGCTCCTCGTTCCCCTCGTCGGCCACCATCCAGCTACAAATGTCAGCCCTGGCTGGGCAGTTTTTAACTACAGTGCTGGGGACGGAAGCCCCAGGCTTCACTGCGCTGCACCCCTTGCCCCTGGCTCATCTTGAGACAGGGTTGGATTAAATTGCTGGGCTGCCCACGCGTGGCCATCCTCCTACCTCAGCCTCCCAAAGGGCTGTGACAGGTGTACACCTCCACATGCTGCCTAGTCCCCAAGAGCTGGTGCTGGTAAAGGCAAACAGCCAGCTCCTGGGGAGGGGCTGTAGGTTCTAATCAGGGCTGCAGCACTTCCTGTGGCAGTAGCGGTGACTGGCGGGTCCCTGGGCGTACCCAACTACCTGCTCCACTCTAGCTCTGGAGTGGGCGTCTGCTGCCTTCCCCAGAAGGAATATGGGAAGGCCCAGGAAAGCTTGTGCTTAGCGACTGGCTCTCAGAAAGTCAATAAGCAGGCGGAATCTGCTCAGAAAATCAAGGTTGACTACTCCAAGTACTTCCTTAAATCCCAAATCCACAAACACTGGGAAATACAACTTTTATTCATCTAAATAAGGACTTCACTACATGCAAAGTCTCTTCCGGTGCTGAAGAACACAATTAAGACCAAGCTGGCTGCTCCCGCTCTGCTCCACCCCAGCGAAGCGGCTGTGACCAGTACCTGGGTGGTGCCAGCAGCAGCCCCATCCCCTCAGGGCCCAGGGGCAGCGCCTCCCGAGCCTGTGAGGTCTCCAGGACGTCACTGGGGCCGTGCTCCTGCGGTGGGATGTCCCCTGCAGGGAGTCGCGCCCCAGTAAGAGTTCCAGTCCCAGGGGGCTCCTGCCCAGCCTCCAGCCCCGGCTCGCCGTCAGCCCCGCGGGCCAGGCCTGGCTGTGAGAGTGCAGAGCTGTACATGGAGTCCGCAAGCGGGCGGCTAGTGTCAAAGCACTCGGGAAGGATGACGATGTAGTCCTCCGAGGAGGTGGATGACTGGCTCTGCACCTCGTCCCCGAGCTCCTCCTCCTCGTCCTCCTCGTCCTCCTCTACTCTGTCCTTGGTGAGACGAACGATGTCCTCCTTCTCGTCCCCCAGGGGATCCTCCAGAGGCGAGGTGAAGTTTACTGAAGGACACAAGGAGCCCATCTGAAAGGAGGAGCTAAGAGCTCCCCCTAGTGTTGCCCATGCCTGGGAAAGCTCCGCCCTCGGCACTGCAGACAGAAGCCATCTACTTCCCCTTAGGCACAATTTGGATTTTTACGTTTTCTTTCATTGAGACAAGGTCTTACTACGTAACTAAGGCTGGCCTGGAAACTGCAGTGATGCTCCCGCCCCGGCTTCCCCAGGGCTGGGATCCCAGCATGCCCGGCTCTAACCTTCTGAGTATACAGCTGCTACACCTACACGCAGCCTGGGGCTCCTGCCAAGAGTGTTTTTTTTTGTAACGTATTTAGTACTGGGTCTACAGCGTCTCACTACACAGATAGGACTCGTAGGGACCCTCCTGTTTTCGGCCTCTCAAGTGCTGGGATTACAGGCACACATCACCACGCCCCGTTTCAGTCAATGGCTCGAGTGCTGTGGGGGTGGGGACTGAACCCCAGTTCTTGCGCCTGCTGTTATTTCTTGAAGCGGGACTTTCCTTGGATGCCTACTTCTCCTTACTGTCTGTCCTCACAGAAGGACCCCTCCCTACAGAGCCCAGCAGCGCTAGCCACTACTCCCCGGGGGTACAGCCAAGGCCTGGGCCTGGAAGCACGTCCTGCTACGCCTGTGTCTCTTTCTAGCAAGAGCAGTCAGCTGGGGTACAGGCTGCCTGGAGACCTGACTGAGCCCCTAACAGCAATGCTAAGGCCCCCTCCATGAAGGGTGCCAGGCGCATGCAGGGCGATACTCACGCTGCGCAGCCTTTTGCCTGCAGGGTGGGTTGTGGTCTGGGGCGGCATCCAGGGTGAGGGAACGGATGACAGTCTCACACACAAACTGGGTCCCACTCAGGTCTTCCTCTGTGTCCTCCACTGTGGTGACACTCTCGGCCTTCCTCTTCCCTGGAGCTGTAGCACCTGGAGAGTGTGCGGACTAGGTACGGGGCTGGGAGCTAAGGGCCCCTCAGCTGGTACTCACAGCCAGGGAGCCAGGGAGGGGCAGCACGAGCAGGGCTCTGCGTGGCAAGGGGACGGCGATGCCGCAGACACAGCCTTACCTGCAAGTGCTCTGCACCCTGCCCCTTCACACTCTTCCCGGATCTGGCCCAAGCCCGGCTTCTCCAGGAGTGGACTGTCATGTGGCAGAGGAGACATGCAGGGAGTCATATCTGAAAATGACCCACTGCTGAGGCAGAGGCAGAGGCGCCAGGGCACCTCTCCTTCCACAGTGGCCCAAAGCAGCTGCCTCAGCTTCCTCCTCCTGCGGCTAGAGACCCAGGGTGCTCCTGCATTTCCGGTAGGTACGGACCCCAGACCCACTGCTCCCCAACAGTTCCCTGGCCTGGAAGGCTGTGGCCAAGGTCACAGGACAAAATAAAGGGCTGATGGGAGGAGGTACATAAGGTCCTTTTATGGCCACGCAGCTTCCTGCAGGCAACAGGACAAGTTCAGGTGACGCTCTTCTACAGCCCCCAGGGAGAAACCCTCAGCACCCGCGGCTGTGGGATAAAGGAGAGGCCCCAGCCCCAGCCCAGGCACAGCACTTTTACCCACTTACCCACAGGGGTGTTGTGTGGCACCCGCTCCAGCTCCTGGACGATGTTTATGTCCAACAGCTCGAAGGACAGCAGGTCCTAGGAGACACGGCCCGTGAGGCTGCAGCAGCCCGGCCCCCACAGCCTCTGCTCCGCGCAGGCGCTCAGCCACATGGGCTGGGAGCGCTCTGGTGGCCAGGAGAGGCTGCAGGGATGCACAGGCCGCATCACACCTGTCCCCAGTGCCTCGCGCTGCCGCGCATGCGGGGGCACAGCAAGGCCAGACTGCACTCCCTCCATTTGAGAGCTGTGTGGGCGTGTGCTGAAGACAGCCTGCCCTGCGCGCTGAGTGTACGCGGCTCTCTACCCCCCACCTGTGCTCACACCCCCAAATGCTGCGCCCGCACCTGCGCTGTCAGGAGGTCCACAGACGGGATGTAGAGCTCCCGCTCAGTGGCCGCACTCTGCGTCTTCTGCAGTACACAGGCCCCTGTCCCTTCTGTCCCTTTAGTTACTTCGTCCAGTGGGGTTTCTTTAGCCAGGAAAAAGGGCTCCTACAGAGATAAGCATTGGAATAAACAAAAAAGCCACTGCTAATCTCTGTTAAAAAAAAAGCCAAGCCTGGTGACATAAGCCTGTCTCCCAGCACTCTAGAAGACTAAGGGAGGAGGCTGCCAAATTTGAGTCTAGCCTGGGTAACTGAGTGAGACTCTCAAAGAGCTGGGGATGTGGCTCAGACTCGAGGCCCGAACTGCAAAGGCCCTGGGTTCAATCTCTAGTACTACAGGAAGAAAAAGAGTAAGGTGCTGGACACACTGGCAGGACGCCACAGGGCCCCTGGGCTGCGGGACCCCGGGGGGGGGGGGGCTATGGACCCCAGCCCCTTCCTCTCTCTTTGCTCCCCACTAGTGCAACCCGACGGCCCAACCACAGACCTCTGCCTCAGGTGCTGACCACGGATGGGGCCTCTCCTGAGCATTCGGCTGGCCGTGGAGCGGCACGAAGCCACAGGCGCGCTTGCCTCAAGGACCTGGGGCACTTGGTCTCTGTCTCCCGCCCACTCTGCAGGAGGCCCCTGGGCACACAGGCCACGTCCGCACGCTCACCTCCTGTGGGCAGCCGAGGCCCGCCTCACTGGAGCCACACACACCCGCGTGGGTATCGCTGGGGTGCTCCACAGGGGCAGAGGCGTCCACCACGATGCTGCACCAGACCCGAGGCCCGAACTGCTGGCCATTCTGAGCCAGGCGCCAGTGGGATGTGTAGGTCCCCTCCAGGGCTGGAGCAACGAACTCCACAGACACCACGCCCACGTGGCCAGCCTTCAGGAAGGGCACCACGACGTCCTTCCGCTCCGCAGATGCCAGCGTCAGGTTCCCCCACATGAACTTGAGCTGCAGGCGCAGGATCGAGACAGGCGTTCAGGGTGAGCGTTCCCACACCAGGGCCCCGTCTGACGGCGGGAAAATACCTTGGTGTCCGCGCTCCAGTTGACTGTTCCTGTGTTCTTCATCCTCCAGTGTTTGAGGAACCTGGTTCCTGGCTGGAGGTGAGTCCCATCTGGCAGGTTCTCATCCACAAAGGCGGCACTGAAGGTGGGCAGCAGCGGGGCACTGGGCCGCAAGGGGAGCCTGAAGGAGACGCAGAGGCTTAGCTGCCTGTGTGGCACCAGGGCCTCAGCCCCACAGCCAGAAGCTGGCTGGGCCTCGGGGATGCACTGTGTGCACGAGCCTGCAGGGCGGCTGACAGACGCCCTCCCCACCTTTGCTTTCTTCTTCCTTTTATGCTGTCAGGGCATCGTGTGCCAGGTAAGCACTGGCTGCTCCCTGCATTGCCTCAGCACAGCCCACAACCCGCCCGGTATGTTCCTTCTGAGCTGAGGCTTTGTGGCGAAGGCAACTCGCCAGCCAGCTCTGCCCACAGCAAGGGCAGCCCCAAAGCACCCGCCAGCACAGTGAGGGTCAGAAAAGGGCAAGAGCAGGTGTCAGTGTGAGCAGGCTTCCCTGAGTGGAGCAGGAGCGGCCAGGTGGGCTGGGGCTGCATCTCTGGGCCCAGCTACTGAGGAGGCCATGTCCCGAGGGCTGCTGAGCCCAGGGGTTAAACAGCAGCCTGGGCAACCGGGCACACCCTCCCAAAGGAAAAAGAGATGGGGGCCACACTGTCCTGAAGCGTCTGCTTACCGCAGGGTGCTGGGCTGCAGCAGGCTCTCGGGCCGGCCCGGAGGGGATTTAGGACTCTGAAGCCCATGGATCGAGCTCCACAGATGAATCTTTCTGTGGAGTTTAAGCTGCTTTTTAAGTTCCTTGACCTCTGCTTTCCGCTGTTTCTTCTCAGCTCGCAATCTTTGCTTTTCTGCTTTAAGAAAGTTCTTATCCACCTGTTTCTGGAGCCTGTGAGATAATAAATGAGCATCTTCAAGGAAACTGTACTCGCAGACAGACAAACTGCATGGAGCTGCCTCACCCACCACTGTCTCTCAGCCACCACTCCCGCATCAACACCTTTGGTGTGGCCTACCTCATGGCCCAGTGGCAGCAAAGAAGTGGGGACAGAGGAGACTGCATGCCCTGTGATGCCACACATCCCAGACTGCTCTTTTATCACCAGCTTTTTGTGTGAGCACACCAAGAAGCCAGTCAGAGAGAAGATACTGAGCCCTGGCTTTACCTGACTTGCTCCAGGGCGGCAGGGAGTCGAGGTACAGGAGGCTTGGGGTGGGAGAACAGCTCCGAGGTGCTCAGGACGGGTCTCCGCAGCTTCAGCAGCAAATGGTTGGCCTCGTGGGCGTAAGGGCCTGCCTCGCAGTCCTCACAGATGTTGTATGACGGGCACAGGCTGTGGGGGAGGGGCATGCCCACGGGACAGAGACACTATCTGCTCCACTTCCAGCTCAGGGCAGGCTGAGCCCACCCACCCGTGCCCATGCCAAAGCCCAATGCCCCTGATTAGGCTGATGACCCCCGACCTGTTCCTGGGACAATGGGACAGAAGTGGGAGGAAGCACGATTTGAGGGCATTTGCACAGCAAAGCTAATCCTTAGCACTCTGCTTTGGGGAGTGCAGTTTTGGTGTTGCTCTGTGACACGGAGTGGGCTGAGCAGCAGCTTCCCAGCTTTGGGAAGAGTGGCCCGCACGTCTACTCCGTAGCCACCGCGGCCTACACAGCGGATGTCCTTCCTCCCTGGGACACCACACACTCACCTGCACTGGTAGCGCACGCCCACGATCCTCCTGTGGCAGCTGCTGCAAGCAACGTGCCAGCTGAAGAGGTTTTCCGGCGAGAGCAGGGTCTCCTCCGCAGCAGGCATGGAGGCATCGGAGGCACAGGAGCCCAAGGACGGGCTCTGGAGGACAAGCTTCTCACGCAGCCTCTGTTCCAGCTTCTCCACTGTCTCCTTAACCACTTGCTCTCTGAACTAGAACACAAAGCAGGAGAACTCAGCAGCAGTACTGGAAAGAGGGGCAGACGGAGTGGAAACCTTCGCGCTTCTGGGGTAAGCCACTAACAAGCACTGAAGGAAAACGTGGAACTGGGCCAAAGGCACCAGAAAAACAGCTCAAATACGGCGCCAGGCAGGTGCGCGCCATCTTCCCAGCCCCAGAAGGAGTCCGAGAAGCTAGCATCCAACGTCTTCCTTCCAGAGCACAGATCTCTACCCCAATCCGGACTCCTTTTCTCTGCTCTCACGCATGCACGGCAGATCTGCTCAGGCTGGGCCTCCAGCTTCCTCTCCCTCCCTCCCACCACAGGCAGTGGCCGCCTGTCCTCGCCCCCACCCTGTTGCTGGAATGGGCAGAAGGGGACACTCAGGACACTCACGGTCTCCAGGTAGCTTGTGAACCAGCCCGGAGGCCTGTCTGGAGTGTGGTCCAGGTCACCCTGAGCAAGTGGCAACGGCTGCGTGGAAACACAAGGAAGATTGAGGTGGTTAGTTTTGCTGTTTGAAGTCAATTTCGCACTGTTTTGCTATGAGGTTTTTCCTGTGGGCTCTTCCCAGTATGAGGCTTCACAGCCACTCAGCAAAGTAAGAAAGGAAAACAAAGTGGGTCCCCTGCTCAGCTCCCTCCTTAGACAAGCACCAGCGCAGCAGTGGGGTCCGAGTGCCAGGCTGGCCGGCAACAAGGCTGAGTGAGGCCGCGGCTACAGGCCAGGGCTGTGTGCCAAATGCTGCCCTGGGTACCTTACGTGTCTGTGTACCTGGGCTGATGGTGTCTCTGGGCTCTTCAGCTCCGGCCCCACAACCCTCACCAGCGAGGAATAGTGAGCGAGTGGCTTCTTCCCCGGCCTAGAAGTGCGTCTCTCTGCTCCCTCCGGGGTCAGGGCTTCGGCGGCAGCAGCAGGGGGCCCTGCGTGGACCTGCATCTGCAGCTGGTGTCCCTGCTTCCGCGCCATCTGTAGAAGCATGAAAAGCCAAGCACACTGCTGAGGGCAGCCCAGCACGCGCGGCCTTTCAGGGTCTCTGACTGCACAAGGGTGGGAGGCAGGCTAGAGAACGCCAGCCTCACAGTACTGGGACTAGCACCAGCCAGGCCTTCAGAGGCGCTATGGCCTAGCCCAGCCCAGCTTTGCTTGATTGTGAAACAGGTTCTCACTAGCTGGCAGGCTGAGCATGAAGCTATGGTGACACTCCTGCCTCAGCCTCCCACAGCGTTGGGGCAGAGACGCGTACCACCATGCCTGTCACCATCTGTGAATTCTAGTATCAAGTTTCCAAAAAAGAGTCAATGCCAGACAGAATTTGACAAACCTAAAAAAAAAAAAAACCAATCTGAGAAACTTTAAGCGAGCTCCTATAATGGTTTTGGACCTGGGAGTCAAACGCGGGGCCTCTCATTTGCCAGGCAGGTGCTACGCCGCCGAGCTGCATCCCCAGCCCTAGCTCGCATAATTATGCATGTACTTTTCCATTAAAAGTACAGGCAAGCAAGTTAAAGTAGGCACATTTTTTTTGAATAAAACCTTCCTAAAAACCCTACTTTGCAAATTACTTCAAGAAACATTAGGGGTTTGGTAAGGTGCCTTTGGGTCCATGAAGGTACCTGGGGCCAGGCCAGTGGAGTACTAGCTCCCGAGTCACCACCCATAGGTACTGTTCTTCCACTTATTTTTATACACTAGACTTAAACTCCCTTCCTCCCTCTTTGGAAAGAGTTTCACTACATAGCCCAGGCTGGCCTTGAACTTGTGATCTTCCTGCCTCAGCCTCCCCAGAGCTGGGAGCACACATGAGCCGCCACGCCAGCCCACAGGACTGCATTCCCAGGTAGCTACCCAAGGCAACGGGTATGCAGCCTGGTGTGGGAACCATCTCCAACAGATGCAGTATGAGAATGGTAAGGCAGGCTGGGGACAGCCGGGGCACAGTGATGGCCTTACTGAGGCCCTGGGTGGATCACCAGCACCGAGAATCATGCAATGCCCTGTGCCTGGAGAGCTGCGTTTCTCGGAAATACTAGGAACCAAGCCCAGGGCCTCGTGCACGGCAGGCAGCTCTCTACCACTGAGCTATATCCCCGCCAGCACTTTTGATTTTAGAATTGAGACAGGGTCTTGCTAAGTTCTCAGGCTGCCCTCCAATTTGCAATCCTCCTGCCTCAGCCTCTGGAGGGGCAAGGACCACAGGTGCATACCATGACACCACTGGAAAATGACTCAGTCAGGAACAGCTGGGTGTGGAGGTATACCCTGTAACCCCAGCACTGGGGAGGCTGAGATAGGTGGATCCTGTGAGTTCCAGGCCAGCCTGAGCTACCTACAGAGCTCAATGCCAGCCTAAACTGCATTGGGAGACCCTGTCTCAAAAAGACCAAAAGAAAAAAAAAAAAGTGACAAGGAATGGACTTTGCACTGTGGCAGCCCCGCTCTGCTCCGTCCCCTGCTTGCGCTTCCCAGCACCCAGTGAGTCAAGGCACAGCCAGGGCTCTGGGCCAGCATGGCACGCGGTACCGGAGATCGAACCTGGATCCTTGCACTCGCTGAGCAGGTGCTCAGACCACCAAGCTAACTCCTTGGCCCTGCTTTGGCTTTTTTTCTTTTTTTAATGGTATTTGGTTGTTGCAGGGTCTCAATGTACTGCTTGGACTTGTGGCGAGCCACCTGCTTGCAGCCTCCCACTGCTGGGATTACAGGCGCGCACCACCATGCCCAGACTCTGCCTGGCTCGGCCTGCCCTGAGGGCAGGACTGGAGGCATGTGGTGCCGGGAATCAAACCATGGTCCCTGCAAAGCACTTCAGTCCTCTGAGCTCTCTCACTGGCCCATTGCTTTGCTTTCTGCAGCGCTACTTAGCTACACCCTTAGCCCTCAAGTTTTTCCCCAACAAACAGTTTTTTAAGTCATTTGACAAGATGAAATACCATTACCTTAAGCGCTTCTTCATATTCTCCTAAAAAGACAAAAAACAATACAGTGTCATTTCCTCACCAGCCCTTAAGATCGTATTAATAGTCTACCCTAAAAATCTAACGTGTGATACTGAAGACTGTAGTTAGTAACAAGGTATTGAGTTCAAATTTCATTTTGTTTGTAATTAGGTGCACCTGAACTTGCAGCCTCCTGCCTCAGCCTCTGAGTGCTAGGACTACAGGCAGATGCACCTGGCTGTGTTCAGAACTCCTGCTGAAGGAGATGGCAGGGGCTCTTGCCAAGGGCCACGTGGGTAGCCACGTGTTTCATTCTGGTAGCAACTTCCTTGCATGTAGCTTTCATTGTGTGCACACAGTCGTGCTGCTCTGGGGAACCCTCAGCTCACAGTCCCACGAGTGAGCAGCAGCTCCAGGTCCGGATGACTAGCTCCCTTCATCCCTCTGTGAACAGAAGCCACTGCAGACCAGTTCTCCTCCCCACACCGCTCTCTCCTTGCTCCTGGAGACGCCAGCTGGCTGCTCCTGCCCCGGCTTGCTCCCAGCAGGCTGAGTGCTGGTGAGGGCCCGAGCTCTGGGCAATGCCTTCCTTTCTGCTGACCACCTGAGATTTCTGGCCTGGAACCTGAGCTCTCACCAGAACAGGGCTCCTGGGAGAAACTGCCCTCCATGGCCCAACCCAGCAAGCGGCCGCGAGATGCCTGGGAGGCCTATGCTCATTTGCAGACAGACACAGGCGCCAGGCCAGAGTGTCTGTCTCCCGGAGGGGCCACAGCCCAAGTCAAGAGTCTTCCCTGAAAGCTGTCCCTGCGGTTCGTTTCAAGGCGCCAGTCACGTGCAAAACCACGCAGTCAGGAGTCCCCGTGCAGTGTGACATGTACACAGGTAACACGGTCACCACAGGGAATGACACCCACTCAACGACTCTGAAGTGACACTACGTGGCCGCAGGGAAATGGAGGCACCTCAGCCAGCACCCGAGGCTCCTAGTACAGGTGCAGAGGTTCTGTCTGGGCTCACCTTGGCTGTTGATGGAAATCTGTAAGAGAAGAAAGCAAAGGGGAGTCCTAGGCGGCCCACCACCAAGCACCGCCAACGTGAGGACTGCCTCCCCCAGGCCAGCTTCGCTAGTGCCCCTTGCGAGCCGTGAGCGATGACTAAAAGCTTGCACTGTTTACGCACTGTGCCCTCCTTCACTCCGGGGACGTGAAGAGGCGGCAGCTCAGCCTCCCAGTGCTGGGGTGGCAGGCGTGTGCCCCCCCGCCAGCTGACTCTCAGTCACCTTGCAGACACTCTTCAGTGTTCCTCCCTGCTTCCCAACTCTACCTCCGCGAGCTATCAGAGGCACGTTTAATTACCACACACAACATAAATAAGATTCTGAACTTTTCAAGCCCCACATCACCCGGCCAAAGTAAGAACTCTATCGTGGCCCAGCGTGATGGCACACACCATGATCCCTGCACCTGGGAGGCCGAGGCAGGAGGATCTCTGTGAGCTCCAGACCAGGGTGAACTACAGGGCAAGTTCCTGTCTCAAATCCCCCAAAACACTCTTTAATTTGAACACCTAACAATGTGGTCCTTAATGTACTTTACCTCTTCATTCTCCTCGTCCAGGTATTTTATTTGAATAGTGTTCAGATCAAAAGAAACCTTCACCTGAAAATAAAATGTACATGTTATTATTATTATTATTTTTTTTGGCGGAACCGGGGATTGAACTCAGATCCTTGCATTTGCCAGTCAAGCGCTTATCCTACTGAGCCATCTCCCCGGCCTATTATTATTTTTATTATTATCATTATTATTCTTTTGGTGATACCAGGGATCGAACTCAGGATCTTGTGCTTGCTACTGAGCGATCTCCCTGGCCCCTATTATTATTATTTATTTATTTGTATTTTTATGGAAGGGTCTACAGGGTGTTCAGGGTCTCGCTACTAGGAGGGACTGACTGGTTATGATCTGCCTGTTTATAGCCTTTTGAGAGCTGGGATTACAGGCGTGTGCCATCATGCCCAGTCTTAAAGTGCACATATTATAAGATTAAGGCCCCAAAAGGAGGCCATACATAAAGCTAGAAATCAGAAAAGGCATTCAGGGCTGGAAGTCTAGCTCAGTGTAACAGTGCTTGGCTCCACACATGCGGTCCTGGCTTCAACACCCAGCACTGCCAAAAGAAAGAGAAAGAAGAGAAAAGGGGCAGGCGTACCTGCCAACTTAAATGGTAAGCATTCTTTTTGCTGGCTTTACACTTTCAATCCTAACCCTAATGAGGCTGAGGCAGAATTTCGAATTCAAGGTCAGCTGAGCTACAAAATGAACTCAAGGTCAACTTGGCTGGCACAGCAAGATCCTGTTTCAAAAAAAAAAGCCAAGCACTATGCAGCATGTCTGTAATCACAGCACTTGGGAGGCTGAAACAGGAGTATCGCCTCAAATTTGAGGCCAGCCTGAATTATATAGCAACATCATGCCAAAAAAACGCCAAAAAACCTGCAAGAGTTGGGCATGTGGCTCAGGGGTGGAGCATTCGCCATTCACTTAGCTAGAGGAGACCCAGGATTTGATCCCCAGTACCATAAAAAAAAAACAAAAACAAAAGCACTATTAAGTCAAACACCACCACCAAGGAAAAACATCTGTAACTGCACACAGAGCTATCAAGATAACAAAGACCATTTGGGAAAGTGCTCTTGGCAAACCAGGTAAGAATGGGCAAAAATGTACAGACGATTCAGAGGAGGGAATGAGAACACTTAGCATAGGAGAAGCTCAACCTCACATGGTCAGAACAACGCAAGATAAAAAAGATCACCTCATCAGAAGAGCAACAAGTGTTTTCACTAAAGCCACACCAGCCAGGCATGGTAGCATAACCCGGTGATCCCAGCACTCGGGAGGCTGAGGCAGGAGGACTGCTGGAGTTCTGGCCTACAGAGTGAGCTCAAAGCCAGCCTGAACCACACAGAGAGACCCTCTCTCAAAAAACCTCCAAACAAACAAACGTCGTAACATCCAGTGTTGTGGAAACTGCAGGGCACTGACATAAAGGTTTTCAATTATCATAAAGGTTCTGCAAAAATCCCGGCAGCTATCTCTGAACACTTAAGACCTGTGCCCTGTGCCCTGACCTCAGTTTGCCCTACAAAGTAAGGCACAGGGACTCAATTCCTCTAACTACTTTATAGACATATAGAGAAAAAACCCTGAAAATCTTTCACTAAGGGACAGTTAACTGGGTCACGGAACCAACAAGGGCAGGAACGTTGTGGCTCCAGCTTGGAAAGGAGAGGGCTGGACCCTGACCTGCTGCCGGCCGGCACTACATGCTGCGGCAGCAGGCACGCTGGCTGCAGGGACTCTCAGCAGACCGTAAGACCCACCAGCAGGTGGCCAGGTGCACAGCTGCGAGCCGTCCTTACCCAGCATGTGTGAGGCAGAGGGGCACTAACACTACGTGTTTGGACGTTTTCACTTCCTAAGCAGGCACATCTCGCTTGCTGCTACGGGGTAGGCACCTGCAATACCAGTGTCAGGGAGGCTGAGGCAGTGAGGCCAGCGCTACAGAGCGAGCCCGACTCAGAAAAACGGAACAGCCGAGGCAGGAAGATGAAAAGTTTGAGTCCACCTGGGCACTCAGGAAGGCCCTTGTCTTGAAATACATTCTTTTTTAAATAAAAAAAAAAAAAAAAAATGAAATTTACAATGAAAGAGAAAGACAAACTATCAGCTCATTCAACTAGTAGGAAAGGAAAATTAACCGGTCTGCTCTTCAGATCATCTGATGCACGAGACTGAGCTGCTTTCATTTGGAGCCTCATTCTCACTTGAGTAGCTCAGACTGGCCTGTAGCTCCTGAGCCTCCTGTCGTAGCCTCCCGAGTGCTCAGTCTCCAGGCGTGTGCCACAGGTCCAAAGAACCAACTCTTCTCCGGACACCCATCCTTGTAGGAGTAGAGATGCTGGAAGGCAGAGAACCACACCAGCCTACGTTTGAAGGCCTTGCTGCTACTGTCTTACAGATATGGTCTCGCTGTACTGCCCTGGCTGGCCTTCAACTCAGGGGCCTTCCCAGCCCAGCCTCCCAGTTGCTGGGATTATGGGCACGCGCCACCTCGCCTGGCGGCCTCTTCCTTTTGTAGTCAGTACCACAGCAAACCAGGGCCAGCAGGCTCTGTGCGGGTGGGCGTGCTCGGGAATGAACTTGGGTCTTCTCATCTCCAGCTCTTTGCTACTTAGAGGCAGGGTCTCGCTAGATCACTATGTTGCCCAGGCTGGAGCGGAACTTTCTTTTTTCTTTCTTTTTTTTTTTTTTTTTTTTTTGCGGAACTGGGGATTGAACTCAGGCCCTGCACTTGCCAGGCAAGCACTTATTCTACTGGGCTATCTCCCCAGCCCTGGGGCTGAACTTTCGATCCACTCCTCCTGCCTCAGCCTCCTAGAGTGCTGGGATTACAGGTATGTGTCATGACCCAGGGCTGACGGCAGGTTTTTATCAAAGTTCTGTGAGATAAACAGAGACATACATGAAGTAAAACATTCACTACAGTAAGCCCAACAAAATCAGAACAGTCCAAAGGGCAAATCATGATGAGGAAGAGGAAAAGCGTTAGCAGAAGAAGGTGGGGACAGGCTGCTGTGTAAGCACCTGGCATAACAGCAAGCAGGGTGCTTGCACAACCTTCCACACGCCGCCGCGCAGGCAGCTCAGAGCAGCAGACCTGAGCTGCTCCCGGAAGGAGAGCACTCCCTGGGGCTGCCTGGGGCCTGCCTGGGGTGGGGCCCAACAGCACATTCCTCAGACTATGGTAGGCTTTCTAAATCCCAGCTCACTTAAAGAATAATTTCACCTTCTCTTTCTAAGCTCTTCAAAAGAAACATGCTCATCTGCTCGCTTGATCGGGGCACACCTATAGACCGAACCCAGAGATGGTGACTCTGACAGGCCTAACAGGTACGCGAGCTGCCAAAAGCAGATGCCTGTGGAAAAGGTTACCTGTGCTCGGACCCCAGAGACGATAACGAATACTCACCATAGCTTCAACATCAGCCCAGGTGGTGTTTTCTGGATCGGAAACCAGAAAGCTCTGCGTCTCATTTTTGAAAGTCACATTCAGAGTAACCTGGGGTTCCATGCTGCGGGACTAGAATTGAGAGCAGAGGCGGGAGAGAGGACACGGCACCTTAGAAAGTTTATGTGATAAGTTGCACAAACTTCATTCAACAAATACTTGTGAGGCCTCAACATGGAGAAGGCTTGGAACACCGCGGTAAATAAAGCAATGTCCCTACTTTCACAGACACAATCTAGCAGGAAGCCAAATCTATTATGTGGAAAATGTTCCTTCTAAGAAACATATTAGTGCTCAAATCACGCCACATACCACAAAAATGGCTCTTCTAGAAACTGTGAAGCAGAGGGTGGTTGTGTGTGCCTGCACTCCCAGCTACTTAGCAGGCTGAGGCAGGAGGATCTTAAGAGGCCAGAAATTCAAGGCCAGTCTGGGCATCACAGTGAAAATGTCTCAAAGAAAACTAAAGAAATAAAGCCTGCTGAGATTGACCACATGCACAGAAATCATCTAGCATTTGTAAAATCTCGAGGATTCTATTGCACTTCGCAGAGCTTGGTTAAATAAATACAGCAGGAAATACCAAGATGGGACTTTCATTCTCCTAAGACTCCAAAGTGATACTCTACATTTTTCCATGTCTTTTCTTAACTTGAGCAGTACAGGTCTTTTAGTAGAGCAATTTTAATGACTTAGAAGCCAAAACACTCAAACCAAGATGCCCCAAAAGGGTATCGCTCAACACTAGACGTGACTGTGCTTTTGTAGTTTACTGGTTTCCTAAGAATGAGGAATGAATGCCAAACACACACAAAATGGAGAGCAATGTACTTTTATCTTTTAGGGACAGAGTCTAGTTATCTAGTTATTCGGCCCAAACTGACCTGGGACCTACTATGTAGACAGAGGCTGTCCTTGAATTCCAAGTGACTGGCCCACCTGCTTCAGGTTCCTGAGCGTTGGAATTACAGGCATGCACCAACATGCCCTGTTCAATGCACTTCTTGTAAAAACAAAAACAAAAACCTTGGGCCACAGATGTAGCTCAGTGGTACAGCACCTGCCTGGCAAGTGTGGTCCTGGGGTCAATTCCTTATACCAAAAGAATGGTTTTTTCCTGAATCCAGGTTAGCAGTACACGTGGATCACACCCACCACAGTGTCAGTACACATCCCTAACACAGCTGAATCCTCAGTCTCCTTCTCTCTGAACTCCTAGGTGCATGGAGGCGCAACGGTGACCTCAAGGCCCTAAGCCCTCCAACACCCGTGGCCTGATGATGCAGGGACCCTTGCTGGCTAACGCTCCAGCCACTCATCTTCCGTGTGGACATGTGGTGCCGGGAATGCGCAAAGGGCCTCCCGCACGCTAGCAAAGTGCTCCAGTGCGGAGCCACATCCCTGGCCTGTTTCAGATTCGAGACAAGGTGTCTCACTAAGTTGCCCAGGCTGGTCGCCAACTTGTAATCCTTCTGCCTCTGCCTTCTGTGCCCTGGGATCAGAGGAATGCACCACCACATCCTAATAGTATATTATTCTTTAAAATATCTATGTATTACGGTAAAAATTACCCTTATACAAACATGGAAAGAGCATAATGACTCCCCACGGGCCCACCCCTGACTCCCACACCATCACCAACTCAGGACCACGTCAGAGCAACGCCTCTCACTGCCTGATGAGGGACAATCATTTCCCTGAGCTGGGACTGAGCCCAGCGCCTGCAGCAAGCTGGGAAAGACCTGACCCCGCCCCCACCCCCACCCCCACCCCCCTGTGCTGGGTTCTGTTTGGTACTGGGGACTGGACCTCTGCACTGAGCTACATCTCAGCGTTTTTATTCTTCATTTATTTTTGAGAATATGGTCTATATACTTCAGGTTGGCCTAGAACTGAACAATCCTCAGCGTTCCTCAGTGTTCTTTTTACTTCTTGAGATAGATTTTTGTTAAATTGCCCTGGTTTGGCTAAAATTTTCCCTCCTTCTGCCTTAGCATCCCAGAGCACTGGGATTACAGGCATGTGTGACCATGCCCAGCTCTTACTGGATTATAAAAAATGTTATAATCATAAAAAGTGTTAAAAAGTAGACAATTCCTAAATCAAATATCCACTCCAGTCAAAATTTATTTTTAATTGAGAATAATGTTTACTGACAAGTTGTGTCTGTCGCATTGGCTTGCTTTTATGGCTTCATGAAAAAGAAGTTGTTTTAACCCTAAACTGGACTAAAAAACATATTTTTGAAACACAGGTCTTCTACATAGTACTGGGAATGCGCAAAGGACCTCCCGCACGCTAGTAAAGTGCTCCAGTGCGGAGCCACATCCCTGGCCTGTTTTAGATTCGAGACAAGGTGTCTCATTAAGTTGCCCAGGTTGATCCTCCTGTCTCAGCCTCCCAAGTGCTGGGATTATAGGTGTGTGCCACCAGAGCCACCCAGGAGCCACCCTGCTGGCCCATCAGCACAATTTTAATTTGTGGCCATATACAGCCAAATTCTGCCTCAGGCACAGAAGACAATAGATAATCAGGATTAAGTGCGCATGTTCTAGAGCCCTCGGGGAGAGGACTGGCTTCTAGACGCAGCTTGGGGACAACAGCAGCCATGCCTGGGAAGTGAGGCAGCACATTCTGGGCATGCCCATCTCATCTGTGGGAGAGGGCTGTGCCCCTGCCTTGTGGTGCTGTTACCATATAAGAATCAAGTACAAAGAGTGCACAGGGCAAAGGTTACAGATCAGGGGAACAGGGTGTGCTGGCCTAAGACACCATGGTTTAATCCCTGGCACTAAAACAAAACGAACGTGCAAGTTCTTTGAAAATAATATTCAAATACAAAATTATTATAATAAATTGGTCTTAAAAAAAAAAAGTCTTCAGGAACTTGATAGTTTTTCACAGTGCTTTGTGACACTGTCATTTTGGGCTTTTTGAGATAGGATCTCATTATGCAGCCCAGCCTGACCTCCGAAATAACGGTGATCCTCCTGTCCCAGCTTCCTGAGTGCTGGGGTTATAGACATGCGCCACCATGCTAGGCTGACAGTCATTTTAAGGATCTTGAACTCTGGTGATCAGAGTTCATTTCAACCCCAACACTAGAATGTTTTTTCCATTCTCTGCCTTCATCTGAAGGCAGATGCACCACCAAAATAAAGCGAGTGTGCAGCCCCAACCCCGCTGACAGCCACTATCCACTCACATGGAATGCAATCCTTGGAGTCCTTACACTTTGGGGGAAACAACACAGAACGTTGGGCAAAATATTAGAAAAATGAGGGCTGTCCAGACAGCTCAGCGGACTAAAGCGCCTGCTTAGGCAAAGCGCAGGGACAGGGATTCCATCACCGGCTCCACATGCCATGCCAGCCCTGCCCCCAAGGCATGCTAAGATGGCAATTGAGACTGGGCAGCACGCCTGTAATCCCGGTGCTTGGAAGGCTAAAAAAGGAGGATCACTACAAGTCTGATCTGCGTAGTGAGACTCTGTAGACCCTGTACTAAATACATTAAAAAAAAAATTAGAAAAATGAAGTGACTCATGATGTATTCTACCCAAGGTGGAAACCTGGAAATACATTCTCACTTCCCAATTCCAAGGAGCACACTTTCACACCTGGAATGTCTGAAGGAAACTAATCTCAAGTGATACCATTAGAAATAGCTCCCATACTTTGCAGCTCATCCGGATGACCTGCCAATGGGAGGAAACAGGAAGTGGGATATTCTAGTTTAGCTCGTTTAGTCCAGATCTTCATTAAGAACTGCCTATTTCTGGGGCCGTGCGGTCCCTGTGCTGTGCTGAGCTTGTTCTAAGTAGGTGCTGTAGACCACTGAGCCATCTCCCCAGCCCCGCGCACACTGAGTTTAGATCAGTGTGATTTTAGATGGCAGGTTGTCTCACCACTATTCTGGTCACAACACTGCCGTGTGTCTTTTGATGATTTTGTTTGTTTGTTTTTTGAGAGATGGCTCAGTGGAATAAGCGTTTCACTGGCAAGCACAAGGGTCTGAGTTCAATCCCCGGTTCCGCAAAAAAAAAAAACAAAAAAAAAAAACTGCCTACTTCTCTCTGGCTTACATAGGGGAACAGTCTTCTTTTGTTGTTCTTATGTTTTTATGAGACAGGGGCTTGCTCTGTACTTAAGGCTGGTTTTGAACTCATTACAAGCCCAGGCGGGCCTCAAACTCGAAGCAAAGCCTCTCCAGGGCTGGGATTACAGATGTGTGTCACCACACCGGGCTATATGTGAAAATCTTTCAATGGGCGCATTCATTTTGAACTCGTGGAAACCCCAGCTTCACAACTAGCCCCATCTGTTCCTTTAGGTGTGAAGCAAGCACAGAGCAGTCGGGTCACAGTGGCCCAAGCCTTCAGCTTTGTTAACTGAGGCCACTGCAAACCCAAGCCACTGACTCACCTCCACTTGGCACAAGGCAGCTTTTCCGCTACGTCGATTTTCACCCTGAACAAATACCTTCCAAGCAGCCGACCTAGGAACTCGAGTTTGGATTACGGGCTACAGCAGGAGCCTGAACGGCTCTCCGGGCCTTAAAACGCGTGACCTGAAAGTTGCATCTTACAAAAAGGGACACCAAGCGACTATCAGAAGGAGGATGGGAAGCGGAAGACGTGCGGGCACTGCCATTCCTCTCCTCCAGACCTAATCCTCGGTGGCCAGGTCTCCTACTGCCCCAGGACTGTGTCACCGTCCCCGAGGCCTCCCTCGGCGGTCGGAGCCCCGACCCTCCGCAGCCCGGACCCTCAGGACACAGCGGCCCTGTCGGCGGCCCCCGCGGGGGTCGCTGCCCCTCAACAAGGAAAAGTCGCAGCTTTTGGCCGGTCGGCCCCCCGACTTCCTCCCGTCCGCCAGCGGCGACGACACCCCGCCCCCGGGTCACCGCAGCCACTTCCTTACCCGTTTCCCGCCCCCGGGGGGCGCCTGCCGCAGACCAGCGCACAGACCTTCCGCCGCCAGCTCAACCGCTAACCCCTGCGGGGCGCCTCTAACATGGCGGAGAGCGGAGGGGCCCAGTCCACTGTCGCCTCCGAGCTCCTCAGAAGACGATTGGGTTCTGTGGCTTGTCTTTCAAACCCACCTACCTACTTATTGGTCGAGGACGCGCCGTCGGGGGCGGGGCATAGACAGCTGACCCTCACAACAATAACAAACCCAAGGGTGGAGGGGCGGAACTGCACATGCGCAGGCGCGGGCCGCCGCGCTTGCCCTTCCCGGCCAGTGCCCCTCCCCCGCGTTCCTGCGGGTCCGCGACCTTGGAGGACGGGGCCGGGACTCGCGGGGCTCGATGGGAGTCGTAGTCTTCCTAGGAATTCTAGGCTCTTCAACATAGCCTCTGCTGGTAAGAAACAAAAGCTCAATAGTCCAGGCCATAGCTATTGACGTGTATCACCGCAAGGCGGTCTTCAGTCTATCAAATGGGTTGTGATGGGAGTCGTGTTCGTTTCTGGAGTTGGAAGCTCCTCTTTTTAGGACTACAGTCTCCCAGGCACACTAGCAAAAGCCTTTCTTTTCGCAATGCATGTCGGAATTTGTAGTTCTGTCCCTCGCGAGCCCTTTATTTGCCCAAGCTGAAGACCTCCTTGGCAGGACGGGTAGGTGGGTGGGGCTCCTTGTCGAGGCTACGTCGAGCATTAGTCTGCGCTCGTATTCGGACCTGTGTTAGCACTTGCAATCCTGACGCGAAACTCTGACGTGCTACACCGGAACTGAAGGCCTGGGTGGACGCCCGCGTCCTGCGCCTCCGATTTACGCCACACACGGAAAGACCGAGCGACCAATCCGAGCCCAGCGCGCTCTCGACGCTCTGTGCCCCACCCTTCCGCCGACGTGCCCTCTCGCGGATTCTTAGAGGCTATCGCTCGGAGGCCCCCTGCTGGTTGCCGTGGCGACAGAAAGCGCGGGAATTACAGATAAATTGAAAGCGCGACTGCGCGGGGTGCGTTCTCGGAGACTTCGCGGGCGGAACGCCGCCGTGCTTCTTTCACATAGCTGGGACTGCGGGCGTGGGGAACCCGGACGCTCTGCTCTTGGTAAAGCTGGAGACTCGGGGAAGGGAGAGGTGGCCGGTGTGGCACTCCTGGTGGCCGGCGGGAAGCTGGCGGCCTCCTGAGGGAGAGAAGATGCGTGTCCCCGGGCCGTGGGGGCGGGGCGGGCTGTGGAACCTCGGGCCTGTGGGGGCCGTTTGTGGGTTGAGGGGCCGCGCGGAGCCGGGGGACGCGGACGCTGTGTTCTGGCGGGAGGCCTGGAAGTGGAATGCGGCTTGGGAGCGCCGGAGGGTCGCGCGGCCTGCCCGGGCGAACTAGTGGGTCGGCACACAGCTGGATACGTTAGCGACCGGGGGGCTCCAGTGAGAGTGGCCGCCGCTGCCGGGAAGGTGGGAGGGGAGGGTCCCAGAGCGGAGCGTTTCCTTTGAGAGGCGGCGCCCCTCCGCGTGACCCGGGCGGCCCGCAGCTTCCGGAGCGCCTGGGGCTCTTGGCTCGCCCCCCCGCCCCCCCCCCCCCCCCCCGCTTGGGCAAGTGCCCAGTTCATCGGAGCCAGCTGGTACTGTGCACGCTGCTTCTTAACACCCCCCCCCATTTTGGTCACCTTCCTATTTGCAAAATTTTTCATCATTTTTCTCCTTTAATTCTTTTTCCATCTCTATCACCTATTTTCCTCCCCCTCTGGTTCCTTTATTTTTGGTACGGGGAATCGAACTCAGGACCTCTGGCTTGCTAGGCAGGCGCTTGTAACTGAGCTATATCCGCAGCCCTCATTTACCTTTTTTGTTCCTTGTTCATTTGAAAAAGATGTCCTTAGTTTTTGTATATCTGTCTTGTATCATCTCCCCCCATGTACTGAGTTCTCCCCCAATGTATTGAGTTCTGTAAGAAACTGTTACTGTGCGTACCTAAGTCAACAGTGTACCTGATTAATTCGTGGAACATTATGGTCTCAAGGTCATCCATTTGCCTACCAGTGCCCAGTTTATCTTTCCTTATGACATAGTAGGATGCCATTGTGGGTAGATACATTTTCTTTTTTGTATTTACTACATGGTCTACAGGGTCTCACTATGCAGATCAGACTCGTAGTGATCCTCCTGTTTTCAGCCTCCCAAGCACTAGGATTACAGATATGGCCCACCAGGCCCAGTCTCAGGCCTTCTCAGTGCACCCCGCAGGCGGGGCCCCCTTCGCTGGCATAAGCAGGTGCTTTAATCTGCTGAGCTATCTGGCCTGCCTTTAAATTTTCTTTATCACACATCTATTAAGACAAAACAAACAAACAAACAAAAAAAAGAACAAAAAAAGAACAGGATGCTGTAGGAAGCTGGTCTCCCCACTGTGGGACTCCCCTTCCTTAGTGAAAGGAAAAGACCAAAGGAAGGAGTTGGAGGCTGTCTTTCTTTCTTTCTTTGGAGGCTGGCTGGCTGGCTGGCTGGCTGGCTGGCTGGCTGGCTGGCTTTCTTTCTTTCTTTCTTTCTTTCTTTCTTTCTTTCTTTTTTTGCACTTGCCAGGCAAGCGCAAGGGCCTGAGTTCAATCCCCGGTTCCACCAAAAAAAAAAAAAAGTTCCTACAAAGACACAAGATGCTAGTTGCTAATTACAAAAAGCAACAGTTAGAATATTTTTTTAAGAGCCAGGTGTGTGGTGGAAGGATTGCCATGAGTTTAAGATCATCCTGGGCTACATAGTAAGACCTTGTTAAAAAAAAAAAGTTTTTGGCCAGATGTGGTAACTGTCCACAGTAGGCTGACAGGAGTATTACTTCAAGTTCAAGGCCAGCCTGAGCTACATATAGTGCCCTGGATCAAAGCAAAATAAAATTCTAAAGGGAATGCTTTTGTTATTAGTTATAAGGTGGTAAAATTTCAAAAGCACTTCAACTTTAAAATTTATTTATTTTAGGGCTGGCCAAATAGCTCAGTGGAGCTCTTAAGAAGCTGTAAACAGGCGGATCGCTACAAGTCCAATCTAGTAGTGAGACCCTGAATACCCTGTAGGCCCTCCCCTGAAATACAAAAAAAAAAAAAATTCTGCTTAAGGACGGTGTTTAAGCTACTGTTTTTATAAATCGTTTAAAGTGGTTCAGGGGGCCTGGCCTTAGCTCAGTTGTTTAAGTAGCTGCTTCCACAAAGCTGTCAGCCTCAGGTTGCTGTAGTTCGATCCCCACAACACCCCAGCCAGCCAAACCACCCCTGAGGGCATTCAGAGCCAAAAAAAAAAAAAAAACCACCTTATTGGGGCCAGGGAGATGGCTCAGTAGGATAAGCGCTTGACTGGCAAATGCAAGGATCTGAGTTCAATCCCCGGTTCTGCCAATAAATAAATAAATAAATAAAGTGGTTCATTTATGTTTTGAAATTTATGTTTTTAAGTTAAAAGGAACAAAAAATGGATTTATCGATGGTTCGAGTTGAAGAAGTACAGAATGTTCTTAGTGCTATGCAGAAAATCCTAGAGTGTCCAATCTGGTAAGTCATCCAGCAACTTTTATTAATTTAAGATTTTCCTTATGTGATTATCTCCTAACTAAAGGAGTAGACTTGACCTGACGCTGTTAGCAAAACAAACAGTAAACTACATCTGTTAAGATCAGGCTGAAGTTTCTGCTTTTGATGGAAGAGCCTTCAAACACCGGGAAGTAGTACTCCTCCTCCTCCTCCTCCTCCTCCTCCCCACTCCCAGCTTCTCAGTCCACAGCCCCTTCCTTTTCCAGTCCACAGTCCATCTGGATGGGTTCTGCATTGGGGAGCAATGTGGCTTGCATTAGAATACTTGAGTTTCTGTCCAACCCTAAAACGAGCTCAGTTGCTTGGAGTGAATGTCATTGACAAAAGAATACTGCATCTCGTGAAAGCTTTTGGCACGTGTGCTCTGAGCAGGTCTTTGTTTTTAGGTTTGCAAGGCCGGGAGCTGTTTTTTGTTGTTGCTCTTTGCTTTTGCAATGCTGGGTGTTAAACTCGGGTCCTTGTGCGTGCCAGGCCAGCACCCTTAATGCTGAGCTACCTCCCCACAGGGGAGGGAGTGCTGATTGGTGACTATATCTGCAGCATCCCACCTAATCGAGACAGCGTTTCTGTTATCCCAGAGTCCCCTTGTCCCCTTGTGTGTGTTGAGGAGGTTTTGTTTAATTTTTTTCTAGGAGTACTGAGGTTTGAATCTAGGACCTTTTGCCTCAAAAATTGCACCTGAGATAAATCATTGGCCTGTAATTTTTTTTTTTTTTTTTCTTTTTAATTTTGAGACAAGGTCTTGCTATCTTGAGGCTGGCCACACAAACTTTTTTTTTTTTTTTTTTTTTTTTTTTTTTTTTTTTTTTTTTCTCAAAGTTTTATTGACAAACAGATAGCAATGAGACAGTTTCAAATCATATCGGAAGGACAGTTTCAACAAATAATACACTGCATATATTCTTCTTAGTGGTTAATTGCTGTACAAGATGCGGACTTGTGATCCCATTTACAAACACCATTAGAATTTTTTTTTTTTTTTTAATGGATTTAAAAGTAATTCTTAGGGCTGAGACTAGAACATTTGGTTACTATGACCTAGGTCCTGGGTTTAATCTCCCACTGCTCTGAGACGGTTAAAAACCCAGAGCAGTAGTTAGATGAGCCCTCCGAGTTCTCTGCAGTCTACAAAGTAAATGAAAACCCTGTTTGGGATCTCCTGGGGAAAGTCCCAAGGAGAGCTGGGATCGCTGCCCTCCTGCTCCTGCTCCTCTTACCCAGCACTCTGATCTCCCCCACCTGCGACCTTTAATGGCGCCTGCTCTTCCCCCAGCGTGTTCTTCCCTGATGCTGTGTGACTTGAGGGTACCGACTTGGAAGGGCCTTCCAAGGGCAGCTTCCAACAATCTTTTTTAAAACTGCATCGGGCTGGGGACATGGCTCAGTGGAATAAGCGCTTCCCTGGCAAGCGCAAGGGCCTGAGTTCAATCCCCGGTTCCGCGAAAAAAAAAAAAAGATTTCTACCTTACAATTGCAGCATATCTCTACTCCTTCCCCCCTTTATTTTTCTCTGTAACACTTGTTACTGCCTGACATGCCCTATAATTATTCCAGCCTTTTCAGCACCCACAAAATACAAACTCCATGAGCACACAAGTTTTTTTTTGTGTAATTTGGTATCTTCGGTAGTTAGAGCAGTAGCTAAGAAATACATATTAGGGATCGAATATGTATATATTGGGGATCAAACTCAGGACCTTGCATTTGCCAGGCAGGCAGTACCTGGGATATAGTTAGCCACTCAATAAACTAAATTTTTTTTTCTTTTCTTTTGGTAAGGGGAATCAAACTAAGGACCTTGCGCTCGCCAGGCAGGTACTTACGCTGCTGAGCTATCTTCCTGGCTCCAATAAACTAAATTAAATGATAAGCTAGATTTTTTTTTTTAATCTCTCTTTTTTTTTAAACATTTATTTAGAGGGGCTGGTGAGGTGGCTCAGTGGTCTAAAGCACCTACTTAAAGCAAACTTAGCAAAGCCCAGGGACCGGGGTTCAATCCCCCAGCACCACATGCCAGCCAGCCCCGCCCCCTGGTGGGCTGAGCTGGCCACACACACACACAAATAAATAATAAATAAAAAAATTAAAAAAAAAAACAAAAAACAGAAAAAAAAATTATTATTTAGAGTGTGTGTGTGTGTGGCCAGCTCAGCCCACCAGGGGGCAGGCTGGCTGGCATGTGGTGCTGGGGGATTGAACCCCGGTCCCTGGGCTTTGCTAAGCTTGTTCTAAGTAGGTGCTTTAGACCACTGAGCCATCTCACCAGCCCCATAAGCTAGATTTTTTTCTTCATTAGTGCTTACTTGTCTTCGCTGCTAGGGATGGGAGCCAGAGTCTGTTGCCGAAATAACAGTTATTGCAGAATTGAGCATGCTCACACTAAGTGCTTGTTTCTCTGAGCTACTTTCCAATGTTTTTTTTGTTTTTCTTTTTGAGACAGAGTCCTACTACGTAGCCCAGGCTGTCCTCGAATTTGTAGCAGTCCTCTTGCCTCAGCCTCCCAAGTGCTGGGATTAGAGGTGTGCGCCATCACATACCATTTTTTATTTTGAGACAGTGTCTTAGTCGTTGCCCAGCTGGGCTCAAGCTTGTAACCCTCCTGCCTCAGCTTCCCAGAGGGCTGGGTTTATAGTAATGTGCCATCATGCCCAACTTCCCAGCATATTTTTTTTTAATGGTGATAGTAGCGGGTAGCATTCAAAAAGTAAATTGAAAAAGTTGTATCAGCTGCTACTTACCCTCAGTGAAGGAAGGTAAAGTCTAAGTAAATTTGCTTTTGTGCTTCAACAGTTGTTTTTCATGTTTGGAATCAAGTGAATGAGCTTCAGGATTATGCAAGCTGTGTTTTCGGAGAGAGACGGGATTTTTAAGTAACCATCCTCCCCTAAACACTTCACATTTCAGCCGAACAAAAACAAGAGCTAAATGAGATGTACAGTCTCATTTATGAAACATCAGAACCAAAGAAGCAGGAAATAAAGTTGGAGGGAAAATTGCTTTGAAAAAGCAAAAACAGTCATGATAATTACAGGGTGATCAGAGGTCTTCAATAATGTGGCATGTGGTTCATTTATTTTGCATTCCCATGGGATTTAGTCATAAAATGTAATGTTCTTTCTCATTCTGCCAAATTAAACCATCAGTTAAAAATGAGAAAAATTAAGATGCAAGAATGAAAGTTACTGCTAAAATTTTTTGTCAGCTATCTTTTCTAGTCTGACTGGGTTTTTTTTTTTTTTTTTTTTTGTTTTCTTCTTTAAATAAGACTACAGATGTGATAATTTTCAAACTAAAACTGTTATAGTCATCGTTACAGTACAAACTGATCTATATAGGAAGT